ACTTCATGCATTAAATTGAGCTAATAAAAATTAAATGGCTTCCATCACAGCAAAAAGAAAAAAAGACGTGTATTAAATACCTATGTGCATGTGCTACTATGCCGAGCATATTACAAAATGACTGCCTGGTGGGAATTAGCAATCTGGAGTCGGCAATATTGTCTCTGCCAAACCCTCTGAAGAGCCCATTGGCATGAGAGAAAGGCACAACAGACTGGAGAATGTTCCAAGACGTGGCCCCAGACGCTCACCCAGGAGCATATACCACAATGAAGTGTACATCTTGGAGTGGTTAATTAAATGACTACAGCCAGGCAACGGCAGCGAAGTGAAACAGCTTGGAGAGCTAGGATTCCTTTGCATTCTTGTCATTCTAGGAGTTTCACTGTCCCCTTGAGGTATTTTTCTTCTTGGCTCTAATAAGCAAATTAAAAACAACAACAACAATGCTAAACAAACATATATTTTCAAAAGAAAAGAAAATAGTCCAAATTACTTTTTGGGGTGAGGGTCACGTTCTAGACTGGTGATAACTGCTCAACTCCATACTTATACGAAAAACCTGTCCAATTTAAACAGGTGAGTTTTATGGTATGTAAGTTATAGCTCAATAAGGCTGCTTTAAGAAAAATACTAGGGTAGAGAGAAATAACTGAAGGATTGGCACCACTTTTAGATATATGCCTCCTGAACGATTCCTTGGCAGAGAGGCGGGGGTAGGAGGGTCTCCGGGCTTGAGAGGCTCACTCAGGTGACAGACATGCCCCGTGAAGGGTTAAGTGGGCAGTCCCAGTGCTGCAAGCAAGGGGTGGGCTACAAGTAGCTCTGTAGAACCGATGGCAAATGGAGAGAGATAGGAGTTTGCCCAGCTGGGAAAGAAATGCAAAAGCAGCCGTCCACAGAGAGCCCCATGCAGAGAACAATCCTGCTGGGAGGCAGAGGAGGCAAAGGACGAACTCTTGCTCCTGCTCATGCAAGGGACACCTGTGTTCCTTCACTCAGTAATCCTTCCGTTCCCGTCTCCCTCTCCCCGGCTCCTAGAACCCTGGACTGGCAAGAACTGGCCTCCAGCTCCCTTGGACTTTCTTGATGTAGTATTAATTCGTTTCAGTAGGACCCACCGTTGTGGGGGTAGTCTCTTAAAACGTGTGTGTGTGTGTGTGTGTGTGTGTGTGTGTGTGTGTGTGTTCTATTGGTGCTGCTGTATACAGGCACCTTCAGACACTACTCCCCTTATACCTTGGGATTGCTGGACTGTTATTTGAGTCCTGGGGCTTGACAAATTGGCAGAGACCTGGAAATTCTGAAACAGGTTAAGGAAAACACAATGATGAAGAGGCCAAGAAAGAAACTTCCCTTGCTTCTGATGGCCCATGTCTACAAATGACCTGTTCTAAAATTTCTTTTCCAAGGGTTGCGTGTTCACCATGGGCCACGGACCCTGTTAGTGCTAAGAAAGATACAGATGGGAATAAAACACTGTCCATGGCCCTGAAGGGTTTACAATCCAGTGGAAGGGGTCAGAGACATCCCCAAAGATACCAACAAACCATACTCCAAAAGAGGCATGAAGGACTGAGTCTTAGAAGGCCAGGAGTGTACGGACAGTTGCAAAAGTCAGGAAAGGCTTCATGAGCAAATAGTATTTGAAACATATATAACATTTCCACAAGAGGTGATGGGGGTGGGGTGCGGGTGGAGACCAGAGGAAGATGATCACAACCATGGGTGCAGAAAAGGGGATGTTTCCAGAGCAAGTGAGTCCTTTAGGGTGGAAGGTAAGAAATTAGCAGACTATGGGCCTGGAAAGGTGCACTGGGCCTGGAAATGCCAAGCAGAGGAGTTGCTGTTGAGTTCTGCAAGCCGTGGACAAGGCCCTGGAGGATTCCGTCCTGGGCTACTAACCAAGATTCTTCTACTGAGAACGTATGTGCACCGCCCTTGGCTGGAGGGGGTCCCGCCAAGTTCCGGCTCTGATTTCAACTCAGGGCACCTCGACACATCAGGGAGGGGAAAGTACTCCACAAATGGAAATAAAGATGAAATAAAGTCAGTTTGTATCTTTAAAAGCCTTGCAGTTTGGGGAGAGGGAAGAGAGAGGCAAAGGGGGGAGATCAGACAAGGAGAGCTAGAACTACATCACGAGTTCTGAAAGAAGCATCCCAGAAGCTTCGGCAAAGTCTCAGGCCTTCCTAATGGGGGTTCTGCCTGACCTTCTGTTCTATTTCCCAAGACCAAACTGTCAGCTTCCCAAGGATGAGAACCAGCCTTTCCATGGATGGGACCCAGCTCAGTATCTGGCACTGGGTAGACATTCACTGAAGGGCGGAAGGAAGGAAGAAAATTCCCCCAGTCTCTATCTATCATCCTTATCCTAGATAAGGATGTTTGTCTTTAAGTTCACGCGGCATGACCTAACTTTGGTTCATTTTTTTTTTTTAAGATTTTATTTATTTACTTGACAGAGATCACAGGTAGGCAGAGAGGCAGGCAGAGAGAGAGGGGGAAGCAGGCTCCCCGCTGAGCAGAGAGCCCGATGCGGGGCTCGATCCCAGGACTCTGAGATCATGACCCGAGCAGAAGGCAGCGGCTCAACCGACCAAGCCACCCAGGTGCCACTTTGGTTTATATTGTCCCTCTCTTCTCCCACCCGTATTTTGCTCACCTTAATCCTCCCTCGCTGGTGATACCAGCCCACATTATCTTCCTGGACCCCGCTTCTTTCAGTGATCACAGCGTCCGTGCTGCAAAATTTAAGTCCCCTATATCCCTTGCAGCTGCTTCCTGAGTGCCTGTCATGTAAACTCTTTGAAGGCAACATCCCCTTCTTAAAGGACTGCATCCCCCACAGTATCTAGAATATACTGACTGTCGATTGGTTGGGAAACAAGGCACATTCCAGGAAGAGAAGGCAGGAAAGAACATGGTGGAGGGTCAGGACTCTGTTGGTGCAGTGTACACGTTCACAGAAAGCCTGAATCACGTGGCCCAGTGAAGAGAAAACTGGGGGGACAGAAATTTTGCTGTCTGAAAGCAGGAAGGTCCTGAATCCCCGGCTTGCCATCTATAAAGACAAAAGAGGAGACAGTGTGTCTCTTCTGCAGCCTGTGGAGTGGAAGGAAGGATCTGATGGATGTGAAATTAAGCCCTGGAATGGATGACCCAGAGAGGCCATGAACATGTCTCTCAATGTCCCTAGCGCCAGAAGGGGTCACCAGAAAGCTGATGCTGCAGACTATGCTGGCCTTCTCCTGAGCAGTGACTGTTCAACAGTCAACTACCCGTCAGAGTTCCAGGCAAGAAAAGAGGAGAGGCCCCCTTTCAGATAAAGGATCTTAGAGGAACTGGCCTTGCGCTGTTGGCTTACGATCTGATGTTGCGAACAAGCTTCAGGAAGATAAACTGATGGCAGTCAGACCAATGATCCTATGCAGAGAAGCCAGGTAGACTCTCAGAGCTATCCAGCTCATTTCCCTAAGAATTATGTATGCATGGTCCGAAAATGACCCCCAAGCCCTTTCAACTACATCCAGTAAAAAGCTAATACAACTCCTGTGTTTGACAGTGGAATCCCTGTAGGGACTGTTTTCTGCAGAGGGCTGTCTCCATAACCAGACCGTCTGGAACTGGTGTCACGCCCAGTTATTTCTCTAGGTTCTTCCGATGGTCGGTGCTCAGTAAACACACATGTGCAAAATAACTCGTGTATTATACAATAGGGCGAAAGTACTTTCCCCACGTGTTTCCTAATTTGGACCTCACAACAACCCTGTGAAACAGGGACTATAACTCCCATTTTGCAGATAAGGAAACCGATGCTCTGAGTGGTTGGGTGGCACACCCACTATTACGCCACCAGTAAGGAGGCGTTCCACCCACTACACCCTACTGCTTAAATGAACTACGCAGGGCCACCTGGGTGGCTCAGTGGGTTGAAGCCTCTGCCTTCCGCTGAGGTCATGATCCCAGGGTTCTAGAATCGAGCCCCATGTCAGGCTCTCCTCTCCGCGGGGAGTCTGCTTCCTCAAGTCTCTCTCTCTGCCTGCCTCTCTGCCTGCTTGTGATCTCTGTCAAATAAATAAATAAATATCTTAAAAAAAAATGTTTAAATGAACTACGCAGCCTGAACAGTGTCAGCTCAGTCTCGCCCCCATCATCTTATCCCACAAAGCAACCTGCGTTATATTTCAGACTTACACAAAGTCCAAGCTTAATATATGGTGTATTATACAGCAGTTGGGAGAAAGAAAGCAACTTCAGGGAAGGGAGACTTTCATGCAAACCGTTTACAGGGAGTCTACTGGGTGTGGGGCATTGGAGACTGGGACACGACTGTCCTGCCCTCCTAGGGCTTACCGTCCACTGCAAGAGACAGACATTGAAAAACTAAGAGTACAGCAAACTAATCACAGTTTTGCGAAATGCTACTAACTGTAGCGGGGAGTTTGCTCTGGTCCCAAGGAAGAGCGACTTGTGCGCGCTGTAGGAAGGTTGGGGGATACACTTTGAAAGGCAGAAGCATCAGTCGAGGCGAATTAAATGGGCAGAAGGAGTAAGAAAATTGCTTCTCACAAGTAGAATTGGACCTAAAGAACCCCAACTCTCCAGTCCCGCTGCCTGGTCTCCTACCTGCTTACGAAAATCAGGAAAGGAAAAGCGAAAACAAGAGAGAAGTTCGAGGTCAGTTTCTGCTAGCGGGGAGGGCGGCAGGAAAGAGGAGGAGGAGCGACGGGAGCCGGCACCGAGGGAGTTAAACGGGGCCTGCCCGGGACGGGAAGGGTTAAGGGGGGCCGTCCACAGCGAGAGGGGTAGGCCCGCCCACCAGAGGGCGGGGGCGGGGCCTCGCAGAATGAGCCCTGGGATTGGTCGCGGGGAAGGCGTTACGCTAGGACGGTACCAACAGTCGGGCGCCGCGGAGGCGGGGGGGTGGGTGTGGGACCTCCGGCTCTGCGCGGGGAGAGTGGCCAGGGAATGGCCGGGCCGGGGGTGGGCGGGAGCCGCAGTGGCGGCGGCGGCTGGGGGCGGTGAGTGCGGTGTGGGGCTGCCCCTTCCCGGAGGCGGCGGGGGCGGCCGGGCCGCACCGCACCGCACCGCGCGGGCGGCCATGGAGCGAGCCTAGGGCCCAGCAGGTGAGCGGCGTGGGGGCGGGGAGGGCGCGCGACCCCCGCCCCCGGCGCGGCGGGCGGGAAAGTGCGGGCCGGCCCGCGGGCGGGGCGCGGTGCGTGGCGCGCGCCGGGCGGGGGCCGCCTGGGGGCGGGGCGCCTCCCCGAGGGGCCGGACGCCGGTGTCCCGAGCGGTCCCCGAGCGGCCGCGGGCGGGTCCGGGATCCGGCCCGGCTGCCGCCTCGGAGACCGGCCCGAGCCGCGCGCCCCGCCTCGCTGGCCCCCCGGCGGGCTCCTGCGGGCGGGCGCGGCTGGAGGGGCGCCTCCTCGGCCCGCCTGAGGCGCGGCCTTACCTGGGGCCGCCCGGGTCCTCCTAGTGAGCGCCCCTCGCGCCCAGGCGGCGTCTCCAGAGGCGACTGGCCCCGGTGCCGCCCTCGAGTCCCGCCGAGCGCCGTTGCGGCGGCCCAGGGAGGATCGCGCGCCGGCGGGCCCACCTCGTGGCCGAGAAGCGCAAGTGACCACCAGGCCCGAGGCGGGAGGCGGGGTAACCGTGCCCGGGGTCCACGGTCCCTCGGGGTCGTGGACCCCGTACTCGCAGTCGGGCACAACTTAAGGAAATGATACGGTAGTCCAAAGTGGGTTGCGCTTGAGATTTCATTTCCGGGTGTGATAGCCCCGCGATTAAAAGCGAGCCGAAACGTTACCATTAATGATGAATGTGAGCATTTGTCAAGCTGCGCCCTTGACTGTGGGATCTGATTCGAGTTTCCTCCTAATCAGGCTTCTGTTGTCCGCAGGTCTTCTGGTGGGAAGACAAGGGGTGGAAGGATGTTGGAGGGAAAGTGGAGAGGACAGGGCATGACTGGTCGTTATGGAATTTTAGTCCTTTAAATGGCTCTATCATCGCTCGAATGGGTGAGGAGTTTATAATTTGGGAAAATTAGAGATGCTTGGTACCGCGACTTGTGGTTAGCCAGAACCAGGTATCAGGGTCCTCCCCTCCCCACACAGCCAGTTTCCTCTGGAGATTGGATTTCTCACCTTGAAAAGAGGGAATAGGAATGTGGGATCTTCTAGCTTTTAAACTGTAGGACTTTCTACATTTGTACTGTGGTGATTAAGATTGATGTTTGCTAACTATTCCCATTTTCCTGGCGTTATAAATTAATACATAAATTTCATTGGGGTTAATTTTTAAAAACTGAGGTAGAGACCTCAGTGTGCCTTTTCCTTGAGTTTATGCAGGACTTTTGAGCAAAGCCTTAGAGACCTTCCACATATATTATTGATCATCAAGACGTGGCTTTGGGAAGCTGTGGTACAGGTGTTAAGGATACTAAATTATTCCCCTAGACTCAGAGCCAAGGTAGATTTAAAATTAACGTTCTGTTTGAAGTTAATAACTTTTCTGAAGCTTATAAAGTCGTTGGACTTCGGTCCCTAGACCCCTGCGGTGGAATCAGTGGACAGCAGTGGATTCTGCATTTGAAAGTGCTTGCCAAAGGAGAATAAAAAGGCAGAAGCCAGTAATTGGGATTCTCAGCCTCACGCACAAGAAAGTGTGGTGATAGAATGGATTGGACAAAAGATGGTCAAATCTTGGAGCCCACAGCTTCTCTTCAGTGTGGTTGGTGAAAATGCGGTGCGGATTTGTTCTGCTGTTTCTCTGAAGTCAATAGGCAATTAACTAAGATTTGGTAAAAGAGTGAAAACTTGAAAACACTTGCCCTGCTCGTCTTTCTGGGTACTTTGAATTAGGGAACAAACAAATCACTGTCTGTACCGTCTAACCTGGTATGTCCTAGAATTATTTTATGTTGAGTTGATAACTCTTTGACTTTCAGTCCATTCTCTTCATTTCCATTTGTGGGCTCCAGCTCTCTCACAGAGCCTGAATTGTGAATTTCTAAATGAAGTTTGTTTACTTGCAGGGCAGACTTCAGCTTCCTAACACTTAGTGTGACCATCATTTCCGCGGTGTGAGCCCTGAAGCCAGACACTTCAGGTCTTGAATTGATAACTTTTTAAAAATAGCAGCCACAGTGGTTGTCTCGTCATTGGTGCTGTCTCATCATAGAGACAGAGGCCGCTCCCTCTATCCTGTAGCCGCAGTTGCAAGCAATAAAAAGGAGACAGTCTTCTGAAGCTGATGTCAGGTCACCCTGGGACTAAGTGCCATGTGGTTTTGTAGATTGAGGTAGGAAGTGTACTTCACAACAAGGCACTACAGTATGTTTTAACAGTGATGATAATTGGCCTACTTTTCTCTCTGCACCTGAAATGCGGAGTGCATAGTAGGTGTGCAGGAAATGTTTGGTGTTTGAGCGAATGAATGGAACGCAGTATGAAGGAAGAGGAAATACTCTAGGACATGAATTGGCTAGTTCCTCTCTTCGTTAAGAAAAAAAAAAGGACAGGAAAACATGTTGCAGATTACTGTTGAAAGTTGCCATTGAGCTGGGTATCTGTATATTGCTTAAAGGGTAGAGTTGAAGGCTTACCAAATATTAATAATCAGATTCAATTTCATGCAAAAGCAGATAAGATCCGGTGCTTTCCGTTTACTATAAAATCTTTAAGAGTTAGAGCTATGTGCTGTTGTAACTGAGCCCCTTTGAACTGAAAACAATCTTGAAAATAGAAACATATAAAACATATAATGTAATAGAATAAAATAACTAAATATTCCTTTAAAAAAAAAAAGGGGGTGGGCATCTGTCAAGGGTGTTCCATACTGGAGCTGCCTTGCGCTTTGATTCTGTGACTGGTATTCTAGCTCTCTGGGGGCAGCTCGTGGTGCCCTGGTCAGGCACAGCTTCACAAACTTGGCTCCTGGAGCCTTTTCTGGCTAGACTAATTGAGCAATTGGATTGGTAGTCAATATTTTTGCCTTAAGAAAAGAACTGGAGTTCTTGGTAATGGCCACGCCATTATCATTGACCCTGATAGCACATCTTTTCATCCCTTCTGTGGTGGGATGAGAAGGGAGAGCTGTCCCTCCCCAAAGTGCTTCTCCAGCAGCTCCTCATTCCAGACCTATATAATCTCTCTCCCTCTTTTCCGTACTTGAGCTGCCTCTGTGACCCCCACCAAGGACTAATGAATTCACTCACCCACACCTAGGGTCCAGGAGACCTTACTTTGCAACTGACCAACTTAAAATATCACTATGACTGCTTGAGCCATCTCGGAGAGAATATGATGGGGAGATCTCACTTGGGATTTTGTCTTGCCTATTTAAAAGCAAAAGAGGAAAGAAAGGCCTTGCTCCAGGCTTGATGAGACTTGGGGGTGCATCTGTCATCCCAGGAGGAGATAAGAAATGGAGCCTGCTGCAGAAAGGGGCTTTGGTGTGTGTTTGGAGGTTTGTACTTTCTGACAAGGAAATAACCCTACAGAGGGGAGGGTGTATCATGTGTCATGGGTACATGATAAAAGAAGGTCAGGGAATATGAAATGGTGAGTGTGTAACGGGGCCAGCCTATCCTACCATGCCCTCAAATACTTTCCACCCTCTGTCTGTGGCAGTGCCATCCTTCTGTTTTTAGGGAGTAAGGTGTTAACGTGTGGAAGTTCTTGTTTTGGCTGTCCTATTGTGGAAAAAAATTTCGCAACGTATTCCGCAGTTTGTTTGCTTCTCAAACAGTAGGGTTTCACCTTTCTCTCATTGACTTGAGGTGGTGCTACTAGTTTCCATGAGTGACTGCAATCGAGCAAGGCTTTGAAGCAATCGAAACATGCAGGCTGTGTGCCCCCTGTGCGTTTTGAATTCTTGAATCCGCTTTTAGTAGTCGAGCTCTTCTTTCAGAGGTGGGAAAGCTGGACTTCTGCTGTTGTTAGTGTCCCTGCTGCCGCCTTTAAATGGGTAGCTTCTGATCTTCGGTGGAGTAGCTGCCCAGACGACTGCTCCCCACTCGGACGCAGAACAGCCAGGTGCGCTGGGCGAGGGTCTGCCGCCCTTCCCCGTCCGCGGATGCGCTTGGTGACCACAGCTTTGGCTGCCCGAGAGCTTTTTCTTATTGGTTCCTCGTTTCTTATCCTTGGTTTAGATAGCGACCTTGCGCTCTGGGTACATTTGTGTTCCTGTGGGTCTTCTGTAGAACAGAGAAAATTATATAGAAGTACTAAGTGTCAGTTTGCATTTCAGAAAGCGTGGCCAGATTGAAGATCTGGTTCCAGCCCCGTCTTGTGTCACTCTTGGGCAGCGTCTTGGACCATCTCCAATCTTCTTAGCATTTGCAGATCGTCTTCGCTCCCAGTCCCAGTCAGCGACAGGAACAAGGTTGGCAGTAGTTGCTGCTCTGAAGGGTGGAAGCAGGGTATACAGAAGCAGCAGTTTAAAATTGGATGAATAACATTAGTATATGTGCTTGATATTTCTACTTTTTTTTTTTTTTTTCCTGTACTGTATTTCTGAATTCATTACAGGACTTAGTTTCTCTTTGTAAAAGAGACCATCTTTAGACCAAGGAGCCGAAGAAACTTTTCTGACCTTAAAGCTTTCTCTCCCTCGCTCTCCCCTCCTTTTCTTCAGTAGGCATGTACTGAGCACCTCTCCTGCACCTTGCACTGTGCCAGCTTCTGTGGAGGTACGAAGAGAGTAAAATATATCCCCTGTCCTTAAGGAAGTCAGGGAAGAGTAGAGGAGACAGGCATGCCCAAAACTGTGTGTGTGTGTGTGTGTGTGTGTGTGTGTATTTACATTCATATTTTAACAAAGGGATCATGTCTGGAGCCACTCAGCCTCAATTCAGCCCAGACCTGCGTAGGGGTTCTGCTGTTGCTGTTTCTGGAGTGACCTGTGGCCCGTCAGCTTGAGATACCTGGAACGTGAGGTTAATAATGTCAGGTGTTACTGTTGCATAAAGCTAATACACCTTTCCAAAAACTCTAGTGAACTGAAAAGTAAAGATGGAAAACAGGAAAATCTGAAGGAAAATGTTACATTTTTTGAAATTTTATATTTCTGCAGTATATGGGAATTACATTCTATGCTACAGTCTTCCATGGGGGTTATAAAGTGATGA